GTGTTTGCTTCCTATACTCGGTAAATACTCTAGAATGGATTTGGGGAAGAAAAGACTTGTTTATCTCTCCACAATTAGACCTATTTTGACTTATGCATCTCCTGCCTGGGCGGCAGCCAAAGACTCAGATGTGAACAAACTCCAAATCGTTCAAAATAAACTCCTGCGTATTATCACGAACGCACACTATTATGTCCGCAACAAGACCCTCCATGAGGACCTCAAAATTGATACCATCGCGGTACATCTGCGGAAACTTAACGATAAATTCTTCAAAAATGCGCAGGAATGTAACTTTATGAATCATTTCAACATGTTTCATTATGAAGTTCTCACCGATGATCGATTTCTTCGACCTTTCGCAGCTTACATACTCAGTGGAAACGAAAATTTCCCCACCTAATACCAAGTTAGTGGAAATTTTGATCTGTACATAGTGATTTTACTCTTATTTTTTTTCCTTTACTTTACTCCAGAATACTGCTTTTCTTCTTCAATATTCAAGAAGCACTTCTAAAAGTCAGCGCCTGGGAGAGTGACCTCCCACGTGACCTAAGAACTTGAGTTCTATGTTCAGCCTTGTTGTAGGACTTTCTGCATTTTTTAGGACTGAAATTTCTGGTATTCCTTATATTTATCATATTGAAGAACATGAGAAAAAATAGTGATTTTTCGCTATTGCAACCCATTATTTAATTATTTTACTCTTTCATCATCAGTTTTGGACAAGTTTACGCTAAGCGAATCAGAATGCCTGATTCCGCTCACGTGATATGTGACTTATTCTAAGTATACTCTGGGATAGACATTTTGAATTTGTAATATATGTATTTTGTGTTAACATTTTTTCTGCATTTATTTTGTTACTCTTACTAGAATTATTGCTTTCCTGAAACATCTTCGACTGTTATAATGAAACCATGATTCTGTTTACACCACCCCCATCACGTTATCGTGGACTCAGAATTTCAACTTACAGGACTGCTAGACTGTATTATGTGATGAAATTTGGTTTATTCCATATGTTGTTACTCTGATGATTACTAGAAAAATTTCCCTTTTATGTAATTATTTCTGCAAATTTGTACATTTAAGTTTTCTTCGGCATTTCTAACCTGAAATCTCGCAACGTATTAACGACTTCTTCACACCTCACGTGACAAGGTAGTCACGCCCTCTCAACATCTGCAATCCTGACTTAGGTCTCACTCATGTATTCTCCTACTTTCAGCGCTCTATAGCAACGAACTCAGACAGCCGGAACAAAACTTGCAAATCCTGCAAGTTAATCAGCGGCGCATCCAGCGGTACTTGGAACTTGGAAAGTTTCCAAATGTTGAATTCTTCTGTCTATGTCGACGACCTATATTTTGGAGCAGGAACGGTTAAAGATGCATATCAGTTATCTGTAGCTGCGGTTAACATATTTAAGGATGCCGGGATGAATTTCAGAAAATTAACAACTAATTCTAAAGCATTAAACGATTTATAGGTCTCAAATGAGATTAAGGAATGAGATAACAAATTAACTAGTGAATCGAATTTCTTAGGCATGATTTGAAATTCCATTGAGGATAATATAAAGTTAAATTTAAAAAACTTTTGTACTGGAAACGATTTTGCTACAAAAAGGAAACTTCTGCAAAGTATCGCCCAAATATACGATCCATTTGGATTTATTGCACCCTTTGTTATTCGGGCGAAAATTATTATGCAAGAAATCTGGTGCTCCGGTTCTGACTGGGATGAGGTCCTTCCTGCAGAGATTAAGGACAAATTTAACATTTGGCGGGAGGAACGTAATGATTTAACTGAAATATCGATACAGAAAAATTTCTTTGATGACAATCCAATGAATATAAGCCTTCACCTATTTTCGGATGCTAGTCTTAAAGCATATGGGGCCATCGCATATTTCAGATACCGTACGAGTGATTCAGAAATTAAAACTTCCTTTATCATGTCGAAATGCAGGGTTGCACCTTTAAGATCAATTACGCTTCCTCGTTTAGAGTTAATGGAAGCACTCGTGGCTGCTCGAATGTATAAATATTTGAAAAAATTGTTTGTGATTTAATTGAGGATGTTTATTTTTGGAGTGATTCCGAAATTGCCATTTACTTGGAATAAAGGTTCGCCAAATAATTAGAAACCATTTATCGCCTATCGTGTTACAAAAGTACAGGATATCGCTACACTTCCTCCAGATAGAATCCAAGAGTTGCCTCCATTTGCTGTGACCGGGTTGACTTCACCGATCCATTTTTTATGAAAGACAGGCAAGGTAAAGTTTACATGCTGTTTTTAATGTGTGCGGTCACTCGTGCCTTACATATAGAGATAGTAACTGATCTCACCACTGAAAGTTTTTTGCTAGCTTTCTGAAGATTTTTAGCTCGCCAAGGACTGAGTATCACCGTGTACTCCGATAATGCCAAGATTTTTAAAAGAGCTGACAAAGAACTAAAACATATTTTTAAAACTTTGAGTGACTCACCTGTGAAAGAATTATTTTCTGCTAGAGGCATAAATTGGAAATTTATTATTGAGAGGGGTCCGTCGTGGGGAGGGTTTTGGGAGCGTATGGTACGAACCATAAAATCCAGCTTACGCAAAATTATTGGTCGAGCATCCCTTACTGTGAAAGAGCTGGAAACAGTGCCATATGAGCAATGATGATTTACATTGTATTTATCGTCCCAATGATTAATTGTAGACCGTTTACCTATGTATTTATCGATCCCAATGAACCTTCTCCACTAACACCCTCTCATTTGCTGGTTGGTAGACGATTACTATCTCTACCTGCTAATAAAATAACATCAAATAATTTGATTGGATCAAGAAATTCAATTTCAGTCAAAAGTCGTTAATCCGGACTCGTCGGGACTTCGGCGATTCCGGATTATCGATTTTCCCGGATTATAGATCATCAGTTTAAATCTCGTAAGATGGCATGCAGAAATTCTAAAATTAAAAATATGAAACCGTAATTTATGAAATAAAGAACAATTATGATCTAAAGGGTATCAAAATTTACAAAAAAAAAGCTTAATATTTATTTGTTTACTTTATTAAACATTTCTCTCAATGTAAGCTGTTTAAGTTGCTTTATTTTATGTGATAATACTTTCTCTTTAATTCTATAAAAAGACATAATTTCTTGTTCAGTTACAAAGTTCCGCTGTTCAAGTCCCGTTAATTGCTGTGCCGAGAATACCGACTAACTTGTCAATCGAAATTTTTTCGTATTCACTAACCTCTCTGTCACATTCTTCATATCTTTATCCATTTTTTGCAGCAATTCCACTTTTTGTTTGTTGGACATCGAAACATACTTTCGTTTTGTAGATCCTTTGGAAGTTCCAGCATCGGAAATTCTATTTGACATAATCGAAAGTTTCAAGTTTACTTTTATAAAATTGCTCTTACAGTCTGCAAAAAATAATAAGCGGGATCCAATTCGAAGATTAAGGAACAACGCAATCATTAACATTAACTGAAATAGATAATTAGATGATTTTAGCTTACACCGTCCGTTATACATTAAATGCGCAGGCGAAAACGTATTCTGCACTTGCGCACACGCATATGCGCAGTAGTCAAGGTCTTACGCGCACGCGTAAAACGCCTGTGCGCATGTGCCAACTCGGCGCATGCGCAGAAAGTTTTTATCTTTGAGGTCCGGATTATAGATCATTCCGGATTATGGGTGTCCGAATTAACGACTTTTGACTGTATTAAAAGATATAAATACCATCAAGATATTTTAAATCATTTTTTGAAGCGTTGGAGATCAGAGTATCTTTTTAATCTGAGATCTGCCAATATTTATCCTCCACACTCTAACGCATCTCAGTTTAAAATCAACGATATTTATCTTGATTCATGACGATAAACATCCCAGAAATCTCTGGACAACAGGTAAAATTTTGGAATTAATGGCAGGCAGAAATGGTAAAATAAGATCTTGCATAATTAAAACACCTACTGATACCTTAAAAAGGCCTATACAATTGTTATATAATATGGAACTTAACTAATGTTTGTATTTTATATTTTTAGGTTTGATTCTCCTGACCTCGCTGATAGGTATCATTTAATGTTTTGTAAATTTTATGTGCTTATAATTATGTATGCATGTTTGTTATATTACCATTTCTCTAGGATTGATTGTCGAAATAGTAATTGAATATTCTAGAATATTATTGAAATATGAACTCTCCACAAGTTCAGGTGGGAAGTGTTGCGTAATTTGAAGAAAAAGGCTAGAGGGCGCTGTTGCTTGCATAGTTGAAAAAGAATAAAGTTTGTTCATGTTGAAGGCGGTGGCCTAAGAATACGCTCTGTATATAGTGAATTAAAATATTGTTAAAAATGTAAGAGTGTTAAAATTAGTAAACTCACTGAACCACCATCATCTGATTTGAAAATGCACATATTATTTCACTGTGAAACACTGAGAAGAAATTACAGTGCAGGATACAGAACAAAAGACTTGTACTACTGACTTTTCTTTTTGTGTTCATGCAAGACAACATGCAACTACATATCGCATACATAACGATGATGCTATTTGATTCATTCTGCTGGGAACAATTCTGTCACCCTCCTTATAGCCTGGACATAACTCTAACCAACTTGTTTTCTCATCTCAAGAAATTTTTTACCAGCCAGCACTTTGCAAGAGATGATTAGATCAAGGTAAACATCCAAAACTGGTTCAGGTCACAGATGGCAAAATTCTATGAACTGGATAGTGATTAGTGCCAAAATATGGCATGTCTTAATTCACATGGTGAAGATGTATAAGAGTAGTTTAAAGTGTGTAGATTTTTCTGTAATGTAATACAGATGAGAGCAAATTGCTAATCTCTTTTAATATCCAAACGATACTTACTTTTACAATGATCTTTATATAATTATAGAGTAAATGAAAGCTCTAATTGATTGTAATGTACATATCAGAGCCCCTACAAAACAAAATTAATATTGCGTACCTGTATATCTGTTGTTACCAACAAATCTTCTCTTTCTGCGTTGCATATTTGAAGGATCTAGTTTAATAGAAAAATCAATTCCATCAGGATACCCCTCTGGCTGAAAAGATAAAATAAATATAACAAGACTGTGTGAGTTATTTAAACTATTAACCCATGCATAACCCATTTAACTAGACCATAAATGTGCTTCATGCTTCATATTGAATGAACATGGTATTCAAAATACTCATTTCTTAATGTGTGATGAAAAGAAATTAAATTGGAAACATAAAAACTGAAAAAAGGGGGCTTCTTTTCAAATCAGTATGCATGCCATAGAAAAAAGATATAAAAGTCATATGCCAGCTTAACCATCCGTGCATCTGTTTCTGGAAGGTGAAATAAGTAGTATATTTATTATTGCTATTTTGTATAGATGTACACTGCTTATATCTTTAGTATTCTTGCTATACATCAATGGCAGCCAAATAGTCAACATGTGGGTGCCATGGCCATAAAACTCTTTTCCACTAATCTGTGGCAAAGTTACGATATCATTATTATTGAATATGGGCTTCCTGGATCTGTGCGTATCTTCATACTTTCTTCCGGTACCATACAGCAGTGGTTCCCACACTCTTTAACTCACACAGCCTTATTTTAGAACCAACTCACTTTGTAAAATCAATTAGACTACAAGTAATATAGCTTACAAATTAATGATATATGAAGAATAGCATTTAACAGGTATTAAAAAGTTATAGATATTAAGGAGAAGTAATAAACTAATGAGATATCTAAACAGCTGTTCATTGGCCAAAAACTTAAATTATAATTTAAAAACTTTGAAGTTTACCATAATATCTCAATTTATTATCAACATGCTACTGTCAAAAGTTAGCCAAACATAAAGATTCTTTCGAAATTCAATAAAATAAAGCAACTTGCATTACAATAGATATTTTCCATTATTCTTGAAAGCATCATTAATGCTGTTACAATAAATTTGGTCCCAACTAGTTAATTGTGACATGCAATTCAATTTGAATACATATTCATTCATAAATGAAGTTTTTATTACTCCTTATAGAAGACAATTATAACTTAATTTTACAATTACAGAACTATAGTGCACTCTAGGCCTAAATAAAGATATAACATTAAAAAAAGTTTAATGAAGACCACCTGTGGCTGCATTTCTATGCACAGTTTTCTTATTTTAAGTTAAACTGTTGCTATCTACAGGTTTTGATATCTTGTTCTGCATTGATGTAGATTCTGTATATTGTTTTGGTATCTGTACAAGTAGAGAACCTTGCTTTACAGGAATGTGTACTTGAGAAAGAAAGCAGCATTATTTTTGCCCTCTCTGACAAGAATTTGAATTTATCTTATATACAGCTGAAACTCCACTAAATGTTTTAGTTTTGAAGTTTAGTTTTCTACTAAAGGAGATACAAAATTCAACTTATAGTTTCCAAATTTCTTATTTTTATTCTAGTTCTTATTTCTTATTTCTTAACTTTATTCAGATTTTATTTACTTTATTTTCCTGGAGCAGCTGTGGAGCTCCTATGCAGTGCATAGAGCCCTTGGGGCTCTGTGGAGCACAAACTGGGAACTACTTCTACACAATATATAGATATGAAGGGAGAGAGCTAATAGCTTTGCATGCTTAAAAGGCATAAATATTTGCCCTTTAGGCATGTAGTATTGGGATCATCACAGAATGACATGTTTACAGTAGCAGTGATGTCGCTGTGCTGTTGGGGTATGTATCAGTGTGAACAATTTTTCTTATTTTGAAAAGAAATTAACAGCACTTCCTTCAGCACAGAGAATAATTGTAATATAAAAACTCTCCTTCTTTTAAAGGTATAATAGGAAATAATGCAGTCATTCCAAACTGAATTTGACTATCAGCTTTTTTCCCTAACTTTTTTCATTTTTTTACCTCCTTGTGTGAAGTAAAGGAAGTATTGTAATTCTGAAAATTTTCGGTTATCATATTTCAACAAAAATATCCATGTTGACCACTCTGGAAACCACTTGAACCATGTTTTTGTGTGGATCTGTACATACAGACAAAATAAAGGATTCTTTTGCACGAATGGATTGTAATCAGAAGAGAATTTCCATGACGTTTCCATATACATATGCACATATCTTGCATAACGCAAAAATGTATAGCCTCAGAACATTGATATTTTCTATATAGGACTGCTATAACACATAGTTATGCACCTTCTTTTTTGGTTGCAATCACCCAGATCAAATATCTATGTAAATATATGTAGATATACTCACTCTGTTACCTGGCTCAGCGAACTCAATTTTTTCCTCTTACATGTTGGTAAATTGATCATTTTTTGCTTTAGAAGTGATTGAATTATATTTTCTTTTATGTTCTGGTTAAGCATTTTATGCCTTTAGTTAATCTGCTTGCAATAGTTGCAGAATTATCAAGAATTTTGTAGAATTATCAAGTTGTTTAAGTGCTACTAAAGCTGCACATTTGAAATTCACATTTGAAACTCTTAGTAGAATACTGAATTAAGTCAATTCGTGCACCAACTTCAGTGTCTTTTTACCAAGTACAACCAACAACAAACTTTCAACTTGCAATGAAAAATCTGTCTTCTTGCCTGCTGGCCAAATTACTTGTTTTTGCGTAGAAACTCTAATTTTAATAAAATAAATAAATAAATAAAATAAAAAACCTGTATTTGGCATTTTATGTTTTTCTGTATTTTACAATTTTAATGAAACTGTTTTGAGTTTTTATGTATGTTTGCCTTGCAGCAAAGTCAGAACTGAATTGATTGAATGAGAAATATATCCCTAACGAAATTTGGAGAAATAAGTTTAAATGAAATGCAGCAAAAAATATGTATAATTTAATAGACCATACAAGGAAGTCATGTGGTGTCCCCATCAGATATTTTAGTTCCAGGTTAACAGAACAGAGGCAGATTCGAAAACCGCTAGTGTAAGAAGCACGTCTTCACACATTTGCTGGCATTGTTGGTTGCATAAAAAAGATGCCAGGTGACAAGAAACAATAGATATCTATCTACTATGAAGATTTCCTTATGTTCCTTGAACTTTTCAAAGAACTAATTACAGTATTAAGATTTAGTATGTATTTACTCACTTTTTAAATATATTATCAAGTATGAAAATGGCATTTTCCCCTTAAAAGCTTACTTAATAATTATTTAGCCATTTTGAGACTGTGAGTTTAACATGCTTCTTGTAAATACAGTGAGTATATTTTAAAAATGCACTAGAAATAATAGACAGAAATATTTTTATACAGGTCAGAAATTATAAACAGCAAAAGAAAACATAAATTAGAGAAATCTAAGTAAATAACTGAAATACTTACAACAACATGCAGCTTTCGCATAATTGCATCACTTCCTTCAGCACTGAGAGCAACAACTCTAATATCAAACTCTCCTTCTTTTAAAGGTATAACAGGAAATGTTGCAGTCACTGCTGACTGACCTTCAACTATCAGCCTTTTTCTCTCACTTTTTTCATCTTTTTTAGTTCCTGTACACAAGTGTTCCACACCATACATATACATAATAACCTGGAAAATATTTTGGCATACAACCTTCTAATAACATAGTAATCATATAACCTTCTAAAATGATATATGAAATAAAAAGTTTACCATATACTTATATATAAAAGACATTTCATAAAAACTACCATAGAAGTACAACTATCATAGAGGTGCAGATTGGTTACTTGCTTTTGATGGTGCATATCCCACAAGGTTACAATGCACTTAACACAAGTTGAGAGGAAGGAAGCAAAGTAAAAACATGGAAATCTCAAAAGTAAAAATATGAAAAATATCTTTTAAAAGTCTACAAAAAATATTCATGATGACCATTCTCTAAAAATACCCATTACAATAAAATCTGATAAAACAAAAGATAACACATTCATAATGGCAGACAACAAAATCAAGCACATATGAGTATATAAAACAATAAAACCAGATAAAAAATCAATACAGAAAGTATGTATATATATAAATTTGAACACCCCTTATATACAAGTATATATTATATATCCGACATGGTTGCGTGCATGCACAAGTGCCCACACATGACGCCAGAGTGAAGTAGGCATTTGTGTGCTCTGTCCAATTCATTCAGCAGTGCGTGTGATGACGTCTTGATGTTCACAATGCAAAATCCGACGATTGAGAAGTAGTGAGATGTTACCAGATTTCTGACTTTGGAAGGGGTTAAACTGGGCTATATTTATCACCAGATGGTGGTCGTATACAGAGAAGAACTGGCACTCCACTTTCTTACTGGACACATAGTCTCTGTATATGGCCACCAACTGGTGATGAATATTGACTGGTTTAACTCCTTCCATGGCAATATCTCTCTGCTCCTCAGTAATCGAATTTTCCATTCTGAAAGCCACAATGTCATCGCACGCACTGCCGCATCAATTAGACAGAACTACTTTACTCTGCCGTCATGTGCGGGCCTTGCACATGCAGCAAACCATGACGGATATTGCATTCGAGTCCTTAGATGTCTCACTATGTGATGCCAAAGCAGCATATTCAAATTTCCACCAGTTTGGTTGCTACTACGTTTCAAACATTTTCATTTGAATACCCCTTACATATGTGTTGTGTGTATGTATATTTGCACATACACAATATAAAAGACAAAATACAACTTTGATATAATCTTTTAATCATTCATTAAACTGTAATAATTAAAAAGTAGGTCATTGATAAATGCAAATTTGCAAAGCAGACACAAAAAAGAAGTATTTAAATTAATTAACTTTCCTCATGCACAGCAAGTGAAACAGAATCAATAAATAAGTTGAAATGCCAGAAAAGCTCATGAGAAATTTAATCTTTGAACTTTCTTGCCAAGATAAAATTTCATATATCTTGACAGTCCTGTCCTTGAAATCTTATAAGACAACATTAACTAATAAGCAAATAAGGAATGCAACAGAAAACACACATGAACATCTTGTTTGGTACTAGATCTGATTATGGTTATCTTGTATAGAAAATCAAGTTGAGTAAAATGGATGCAATCTAATAGTAAAATTAATATTATGGGGGGGGACTGCTAACATCTTAATTGCTCAAACGTACCACATAGCGGTACTGCATCAAAGTAAAATATGCAAAATATTATTATATTAAAATAATAATTTGGGAGGAATGCCTATATCTTAGCTGCAGTGACAGCTGAAAAACACTGCATAAAAGCTCTGTAATAAATATGTCTGAAAGACTTGTGAAAACATACACAGAGCCTGACAACACATGGAATACGGTTTTGACAATGCACAAGACAGTGCCAATCATAAACAGTTCAGCCATATTTCACTTTTGACTGGATAAGAGCTACATTGGCAAAGGTGTGTAATATGTACAATCTGTCAAAAGTCAATTTAGAGCCAAGATTCAATCTTTAATAGTGGAGTCTTAAACACTTTTCTAGCATTATAGGCATTGTTTCTTTATTAGCACTACAGACATTCTCTGTTTTTAAAAGGCAATCTCATAAGATGAAAGAAAATGTTCTATGCCGTGGCTAGACAATAATGAGTCTCGTTGATCTTTTCCAAAACCTTCTGATGTTATATGTAGCATTTAGTGGCTTGCAATTATCTAATCTGTTATAGCTTTCCTAGAACATGTACAATTATCTGGTTGTAACAAAAGTTTTCTGCTAAAACACTTTCTTAATAAAGTTAGAAAAAAAAATAAACATGAAAGCTGTATCTTTAGTGTAGGTAGTAATCACCACCCAAATCTATGATTTTCTGCAAATGTTTTGGTAGTTTTTCAAAGCCTTTGGCCCAGAAACTTTGAGGCCCTGAGTCCAAACACAGATCACCTTCATTTCGGACATCCTGTGCAGAATGGATGATAGAACCTGCTATATGTGGCAGCAAGTGTGAAAAAAGAAGTCCTAAGGAGTGATGTGTAGGCTATATGGTGGGTGTGCAAAAGATCCCATTCAAGTCCGCACAGAGTCAAGCCAGTGAATGCAGACATATGTAGTCTTGCATTATCTTGATGGAACATTACCTTTTTGTGCCAGAACTCAATTCAACGTTTTTCTTTGATAGCAGCATCGACATGGATTAGCTGTACCTCTTACTGTCAAGGGTTTTACCTATTTCCTGATACTATTTGTGAATAACACCATGGCTATCCCACCAGATACAAAACATGGTCTTTTTGTTAGTTTTTATGTCAAGTTCTAGCACAACAGAAGTCATAAAAAGAGCAAATATTCTAGGATAATTGAGTAAAAAAACTTACATACAAAAATGATTGGTAGTTCTTGGCAGAAAAATATCCTATGATGGTAGATTATTTCTCGCACTCGCTCTCTCCTCGTGCAGCTTCATCCCATAGCCAACAGGCACATTTCCACTACATTTAACTGTCGAACAAATATTGTATTCTAACAAAACAACAATGGACATCAGCCTTCAGCAGATGCCATCATTAAATAAACACCCCCATTAACAAATCGAAAGCAGGATTTTTCAACAGCAGATGGTTTTAATTACAAAATATAGATGACCAAATCAAGTTTCATGGCAATAACACATGCACAGTAGGTAGGGAAGTACATTTCAAAATATTAATAAAAATAGAACAAATTAGAATCTTTACTAAAACAATACAGTCAAAAGTCGTTAATCCGGACTCGTCGGGACTTCGGCGACTCCGGATTATCGATTTTTCCGGATTATAGATCATCAGTTTAAATCTCATCAGATGGCATGCAGAAATTCTAAAATTAAAATAGAAACCGTAATTATGAAATAAAAAACAATTATGATCTAAAGGGTATCAAAATTTACACACACCACAAAAAAAAAAGCTTAATATTTAGTTGTTTACCCTAATTAAACATTTCTCATGTAAAGTTGTTTAAGTTGCTGCTTCGTTTTATGTGATATACTTTCTCTTTCATTCTAGAAAAAGACATAATTTCTTGTTCAGTTACAAAGTTCCGCTGTTCAAGTCCCGTTTAATTGCTGTGCCGAGAATACCGACTAACTTGTCAATCGAAATTTTTCGTTTTCACTAACCTCTCTGTCACATTCTCCATGTTTTATCCATTTTTTGCAGCAATTTCCACTTTTGTTTGGGTGGACATCGAAACAATACTTTCGTTTTGTAGATCCTTTGGAAGTTCCAGCATCGGAAATTCTATAGACATAATCGAAAGTTCAAGTTTACTTTTATAAAATTGCTCTTACAGTCTGCAAAAAATAATAAGCGGGATCCAGTTCGAAGATTAAGGAACAACGCAATCATTAAAATTAACTGAAATAGATAATTATATAATTTTAGCTTACACCGTCCATTATACATTAAACGTGCGCAGGCGAAAACGTATTCTGCACTTGCGCACATGCATATGCGCAGTAGTCAAGGTCTTACGCGCACGCGTAAACCGCCTGTGCGCATGCGCAGAAAGTTTTTAGCTGTGAGGTCCGGATTATAGATCATTCCGGATTATGGGTGTCCGAATTAACGACTTTTGACTGTATAAATATATGATACATCACAAATAAAAACTGTACATTAAAAATTAGACACATGATCAATCTACTCAAATCTAGAAATTAATAACAATGGAAATTTCTTGATTATGAAACAAAATAGGCCAACTTCTATTTTAAAATATGAACTTAAATTTCTCAATGAAATTAAAGAATAAGGAGAATTATAGAAATTATCCTTAAGTTGAACTTACAGATAATCTCTTGTGACCATAGTTAAAGATAGTGGCTGGAATTTCAACTTGTTCATTTCGTACAACAGAATACGGAAGATCCAATTGAAGAAAAATCTTTTTGAAGGACAATACTTTCTTTGGCTCTGCAACACATATTCCATGTGTTTGTGATACAGATACAGCTTGAATAACCCATGTAGTGATACTATGTGGTAAACTCAGAGATAATTCATTTTTATTGCCAACACTAAAAATAAAAAGAAGGAATTATAATATATATTACAGGTGAGTTGATCATTTCTTAAAGACTAAATATAAAAATGACATGAACCTTGAAACGCTTATAATTCTAATTTTGTTTGATACAGAAATAAACATAACATTTTATGTGACAAAACACTTGCAGTTTTATAATCAGTTTCTACGAACAGAATATTCAAAAGTCAGATAACAAGGCTAACTTTAAAAATGAATAAAATTATTAACTGTTTATGTTATTGATAATTACAATATTACTGCAACTATCTATATATAACAGGGGTTCTCAAACCTTTTTGGTCCCATGCACTCCTTTCAGTACTGCTAAGCAATCATTTCTCCCATTCCGAAATGTGAAAAATAAAACACACATTTATTTACATTTAGATTATTTTTCACAGTATTTTATAAATTAAACCAGAAAAAGTGTACAAAATGTTGACATTATAAAAACTTGAATAACAGTAGTTTTTCATTTTCTTAAACTAAAACTATATACTTAGTAGGCAAATAAAAAGCAGACTGCATACCACCCTGAAGCTATAAAATTATCTTTAGGGGATATACCCCTTGGATGAGAACCCCTGATCTATAATATAAAAATAGTACAATGATTAATGTTATTATGATTTACAATTATTAATTATATTTACATTAATTGATTATACAACTATAAATTTACCAGTTCATCTCAGAAAAAAATGCACTTCCCAGAATATATTATTTTTGAAAAAATGTTAATATTATCTCAATTACAATTGATATGATATGATTCCCCCCCCGAACTAACAACATGGTGCATTTTCTAATTTTTCAACCTTATCATAATTTTTTTTAAGTTGCACCAGAGTATTTGGGATGAAGTTAATTTCACACAGAAAGAAAGATAAGAGTAGTGTGCATACACACACAAAAA